TGAATGAACCAAAGTTTGCAGGGCTCAAAAGAAAATGGTGGATCTTTTGAAAGGACCTCGGTATGAATGTTTTAGTAGAACAAATGGGGAAATCTCTTGGGAAGCTGAAAATATTTTGAATATTGTGTTGGCTGCGAAATGTACAGTTTCTGATGGATGGTAAAAAATAGATCTATAATTTTTATGTATCCTTCACATTAAATACTATTTAAAAAGGAAGAAAAAGGAAATTCCACATAATATATCATCATTGGCGAAATAATATTTTGCCCGTGTTACCGCAATTTTTCCTCAGCTTTGGAAACAGTGTAATTTATCATCACTTCCTGGAGAATTATTTAACTTGGAGGGCCAGAGCGCTAGCCACTCGACCACCAGGCCCTTATTTGAAACATATTGACACAATCGAATACCAACCTATTTTAGTAGTTTATGAATCCGACAAATAAATAATTTTTACATTTTTTAAATACTCACAAATATTTAAAGGGATGAATTAGTTTTCATCATCATCATCATCGTCGCAGCAGCCTCATGGTGGGCCAAGGCCGTCTGCTTACTAGCAGATTTCGAAACATGCGATGTTTTTCTTTTTAAAGGATAGGGATAGCCTACGCCCAACTCTCTACAGTCGTATTTTATCGGGGCATACTGCTTAAAGTGGATTCTGAACCACTACAAAGATCCATGGCACTGCCAGGACTCGAATCCGAAACCTGTGACACCGTGCACCAGAATGCTAATTATTCGACCATCAGACCCTTATTATGCATTAATAATTTTTAATTAATTTATAACTTTTAATTTTTAAATGATGCTTAAAATATTATATACTTTTAAAAATACACTGAAGTGACAAAAGTCATGGGATAGCAATATGCAAATTTTCAGATGGCAGTAGCATCGCGTAGAACAGGTATAAATGCGCAGTGCTTTCGCAGAGCTTTCATTTCTATTCAAGTTATTCATGTGAAGAGGTTTTGACGTGATGATGACCGCATGACGGGAATTAACAGACTTTGAACGCGGAATGTTAGTTGGAGCTAGACGCATGGGTCATGCCATTTCGGAAATCGTTAGGGAATTCAACATTCCCAGATCCACTGTGTCAAGAGTATGATGAGAGTATGAAATTTCAGGCATAACATCCCACCATGGACAGCGCAGTGGTCGACCGCCTGCACTTAACGACCGAGACCGGCGACGTCTGCAAAGAGTCGTAAATTCTAACAGACAAGCAACACTGCGTCAAATAACCGCAGAAATCAATGTGGGACGTACAAGGGACTTGTCTGTTAGAACTGTGCGGAGAAATTTGGCTTTCTTGGGCTATTCCAGCAGAAGACCGACTCGAGTGCCTTTACTGACAGAACGACATCGCTTGCAGCGACTCTCGTGGGCACGTGAGCATATCGGTTGGTCCCTAGATGAATGGAAAACCGTGGCCTGGTCCGATGAGTCACGATTTCAGTTGGTAAGAGCTGATGGTAGGGTTCGAGTGTGGCGCAGACCCCACGAACCCATGGACCCAAACTGTCAGCAAGGCACTGTTCAAGCTGGTGGTGGCTCCGTAATGGTGTGGGCTGATTTTCATGGCATGGACTTGGTCCTCTGGTGCGACTGGACCGAACATTGACTGGAAATGCTTATGTTCAGCTACTTGGAGATCACTTGCAGCCATTCATGGACTTCATGTACCCAAACAACGATGGGATTTTTATGGATGACAATGCGCCATGTCACCGGGCCACAACTGTTCGCGATTGGTTTGAAGAACATTCTGGACAATTCCAACGAATGATCTGGCCACCTAGATCGCCCGACATGAATCCCATCGAGCATTTATGGGACATCATCGAGAGGTCTGTTCGTGCCCAAAATCCTGCACCATCAACGCTTTCACAATTATGGACGTCTATCGAGACAGCATGGCTCAATATTCCTGTAGAAGACTTCCAACGACTTGTTAAGTTCATGCCACGTCGAGTTGCTGCACTTCGCTGGGCGAAAGGAGGGCCGACAAGATATTAAGAGGTATCCCATGACTTTTGTCACTTCAGTGTATAACAAATCTAAACTACTAGCTCTTTCTAACCTGGTGTAAAATTCAATGAAGTATTTCAAACTGATTCTACGAAGCAACCGATAAAGAAGACTCATTTTGAATATTACAGCACTCGCGAACTGCATTCTACTATCACTATTACACCACACCATATCAATATGTACGTCCTGATGGTTGAGTGGCTAGCGCTCTGGCCTTTGCTACCACAGGCTTCAGGCTCAAATCCTGGTGGTAGCACGGGTGTTTGTGAGTGGTTCGGAATCCCTTTAAACTGTTGGTCTCTGTCTAATGAGCGTAAAGTGTGCACAAAAGGATAGTAGAGCAACAAACTATACACATCACTGTGCTCAGAGCTCAGCTGCCCCTATACTATGGGAGGTCTGATTGGGTTCTGTCACCCTGTATAGTCATATTAGACCGGAACCTAAGGCTTAAAATAGATTCCGCATTGCTGCAGACATGCAATGCATCGCCGGTCCTCGAACCCAAAAACTTGCGGTAACGAGAGCCAGAGCGCTAGCCGCTCGGGCATCAGGCCCCAAATTATTCTTTAAAGTATTAAAATTCGGGCCTGAATGGCCGAGGAAAATTCGGGCCTGAATGGCCATGGATGTTTGTGTTGTTCAGAATCCACTTTAAACAGTAGGTCCCGGTCTCACATGATCGTAGAGCGTTGAGGGGGCATTGTTACACAGCGTCCGTGGCTTATCCTCAAGTTACACAAGCCTCCTGGGTAATGCAAAGTGAGTAACGTCTGTGCAGCACTTGCCTTATTTCATCCATGTATGTTTGCCAGCTGCATTGGAAAAAAAAATGTATTAAAATTCTAAAAAAAACTAGTAGCTCTCCCTGATTGTGTAGAATTTAGTTTTACAAGATCACTCTACCAAGCAATAGATAAAGAATATTCACTTTTGAATGCATTACAGAACCGCGAACTGCAATCAGTCAGTATTTGAAAATCAATCCATTTCCTCTGCCGTTCAAAAAAATCTGACATCTGAAATAATCGTTTGGACCACGACGACTGCTGTGTGCAGAGATGGGATTCAATCGGGAAAGCATGCGTTATTCATGTGTTCTTGTCATATCTGTAAGTTTCCCCCGATTCATGGTATTCTTATGTGTCCTTCCTGAACGGGTCCTTCGTTTCGAGACCCTTCAAAGCTTACTTCACACAGGAAACAAATACGGATTATTTCATTTCTTTCTTCTTTCTCTTTCCCCTACCAGATCTCCTGCAATCCTAAAACTCTCTTTTTACTTTTGGGTTAAAAAACAACTCGACTTATTTTGATATCTGAATGGCCGAGTGGCTAGCGCTCTGGCGCTCGGTACCACAGGTTTCGGGGTCGAATCCCGGCGGTACCATGGATGTGTGTAGTGGTTCGGAATCCACTTTAAACCGTAGGTTCCGGTCTAATAGGATCGTAGAGCGTTGCGGGGGCATTGTTAATCCGCTTCCGTGGCTTATCTTCAACTTACACGCGCACTCTGGGTAATGCAAAGTGAGCAAGGTCTGTGCAGCGCTTGCCTTAAGGCATCCAAGACCAAGCTGTCTTAAGTGTTTGCCAGCTGCATTAGAACAAAAAAAAATTCGATAACTAAAGCGGAATAACAAATATTTTTGGGTCGCATCCGCTCTTCTGTTTCGGAACTCTCTGTTTTTGGAACATTTCGTTAAAGAACACGTAGGGTTCTAAATTTTTTCTTCTTCTTTTTGTTTGATATGGGAAGTATTTCTGGAATCTATCCTCATTTCTTCTGTGTCTGAATAATGTTTAGAACTGAAAACAAAAATGATTAATTTCCATGTGACTCTTTTTGGTAGGCTTTTTTTTAAAAAACTTTTTCATTTTTTGTAATTTCCTTTTAAGCCTATCCATAAAAGAATTTTGGTTGACATATCCTTTTGGAGCTATTTAGTCCCTGGGGGGCCATATCACCGAAAGGACAAGGTAAATGCAGTTGAAACAATATTGTCCAGAATATATTTACAAATATAATAAAATTAACTTACAAGCATAAACAAATAAAACAAAAATATTTAAAAATTAAATTAGATATTAAATCAAAATTTTGCGTGGGCGTAGGCGGGGCCTCAGGGATAGCCAACCCGTAGGCCGTATGTGAAGCTCCTTGTATATTTTTCAAGATACCCGTGAGATTTATCACAATTTTACAAAATATATTATTTTATAAAAGCCAAGGTATATTCAAAATAATATTCTTGAGCTCAAAGAATAATTTAATCATAATTGTGCGAACTCATAATGCTCACGGATCTTGGAACATCTAATATAACAGGTTCTTTGTTTCATTTTAATTGACTTCAGTGATGCAGTGACCATCCCTAGATACGCACAATTGATTGTGGTTAGCAGAGCAAACCTGACTCTTAGTTGAAGTTGTTAGAGCTTTGAGTTCAACTTACACCTGCGAATCGTTTTCTTCTAAAATGAAATTGATCCAATACAAACATAACGGACGCAACACCCATTACGATGTGCAAATACTTGAAATTGATATGATTTGCAAATCTCAGTGAAGGAGTGAAGAAATAAATATCGCACTAGTCAAATAAATATTTTGAATGATTTCATTTTTTTAAATTTCTTTTTAATTTATATATTTTTTATATTTTATTTTGAGTGTTCTATGTTTCTTTACAGTTTGCGTTACAATGTGCGTATCATTATTACTATATTAACTATGTTTACATGTAAGAATAATAGTGAACACAATAATAACACCTCATTGTGTCTCAATGCTCCACTTAAAAAAATGTGTATAGGGGGTCTAAATCTAATGTGGGGTTACATAATTCTATATGCCGCCTGCAGAGTTGTGATGCATTTCCAAAGTGGCCCGCAAGATCATTTCGGTTTTCCACCATTAGACTAAACATTTTATTTTAGAACAGAATATATATAACAGAATATACCGGTTCTCGTTAGATCACCGAAGTCAAGCATCATTGGGCGCGGTCAGTACTTGGGTGGGTGACCACCTGGGAACACCGCGTGCCGTTGGCATACACAAATTTGGGACCTGAATGGCCGAGTGTCTAGCGCTCTGGCGCTCGGTGCCACAGGTTTCGGGTTCGATTCCCGGCGGTGCCATGGATGTTTGTAGTGGTTCGGAATCCACTTTAAGCCGTAGGTCCCGGTCTCCTATGATTTAAGAGCGTCACAGAGCCAAAGTCCGACTTCTACCTACGGGTGCTCCCTCACAACAGAAGCTGCTTCCTTCCCCTTCAACCATGAGCACGTATGGGCTCGTGGGCTTGGCCAGGCAAGTGGGATAAGAAACAACAACAACAAACATTTTATTTCAAAATAATTAATATGTAAAAACTTTCATTTAATCCCGCCTATCTTCCGTAATAATATCGGTCTATTTTATTTATAGAAATTTGATTTTTTTAAATGATTGAATGAAATTTTATTTATACCTAACGAAAACTTAAATAAATATGTCCTAAAGTTCCATTCTTTTTTGGGATGTATTCTAACAAATTTTGGAGAGGAACATTTTAACAAGAGGAAACCTCTCTAAACGATTTATTTCATCTTAAAACACACGCATCACACTAAAAAATAGTTTTATTTCAGAGTAGTTTTAATATTCTAGAATCTTTTCTTCTTTAGAAGTAAATTTTTTTTGTATCGTATTCTCTTTTTTTTCGACAGAATAAATTGGAGAAGTGGAAAAAAACTTTACTTCATTTATTAATTTAAGATACAAAAATTTTATTCTCAAGTATTTTGTTCTAAAAGAACATTTTTTATCTAATAAATTTCGGGGCCTGAATGGCCGAGTGGTTAGCGCTCTGGTGCTCGGTACCACAGGGTTCGGGTTCGAGTCCCGGCGGTGCCATGGATGTGCGTAGTGGTTCGGAATCCACTTTAAACCGTAGGTCCCGGTCTTAATAGGATCGTAGAGCTTTGCGGGGGCATTGTTACTCCGTATCTTCAAGTTACACGCGCCCCCTGGGTAATGCCAAGTGAGTAACGTCTGTGCAGCGTTTGCCTTAAGGCATCCAAGAAGAAGCTGTCTAGATGTTTGCCAGATGCATTGGAAAAAAAAATCTAATAAGTTTCTTTTCGGTTTATGAAAAAAAAAAAAATGTCATTCAAAAAAATAAAAGTTATTTTGGAGATTGAATGAATACATTTTTTTTTGAATAAAAAATATTTTTATGTGATCCAATTTTTGTGGAGTAAATAGGTTTTCGATTGAAATATTTCTTGGAGAGGTTTTATTGTAGAAAATAAGCGTAAATTTTTTATTCGTAGATATTTGATATTTTATTAAATGGATTATTAAACATTCAATTTTGTTACTTTAATTTCGATATTTAAAAAAACGAATCCTTTCAGGTAATCATTAAAAATAGCTGAACATGCTTTGATCTCATTCCAAAAATAATATTGAAAGGAAAAGATTTTTTTTATAGTTTGGGGTTTTTAGAGCGAAAACGGTAAAGTCCCCACAAATAAATTCCTTGAACGTTCCTATTATATCAGCAGTCTTAATTATAGACTTATTTAACTTTAAATAACGAATGTTCCTTTGCAATCTTACTCAATAAAGGTTAGTTTTATATTTGGCATCTCATATTTCTTAAAAAAGTGAATTAATCTGAATTAAAAATAACTTTTATGCTTCTTTTACCGCATCCTTATTTATGACGCTATTCATATGCTTTGTAAAGGAAAAGACACGTTAAAGTCAATTCTCTTTGTTCTGTTAATTTATGCATAGCTTTCATTTAAAATACTCTATTTGATATGGGGAAAACTCATTAGAATTTTAGAAATCTTTTATAAATTATTGATTTATAGGACATGAAAACTATTTTGATCCCTTTGAATATTTTTGTATATTTATTTAAATGTAAAATTTGTTAATTGCGGGATTCATAAACTACTAAAATAGCTTGGTATACGATTATTTCACTAAAACTCCCACATCTATATTTTTTAGACTAAAATTGAATTACACATAACACTAACACTACATTATGAACACAGGTATAAGCTAAGATATCCTTCAATAAGTCACGCCTATATGGCCCCACTGTTGTGAGACCCATATGAGTTTTGGATAGTAGCAACCATTAAACGATATGTGTCAAAATTCCATGACATTCTAATTATTAGTTTACAGGTTACAGTGGTTTTAGTGACACCTGTTTTGTTATTTTCAAAATGATGGACAAAAAAGAACTTCATGTGTTGATTAAACATTGTTTTTTGATGGGGAAAAATACTGTTAAAGCCAAGCAAGGGCTTGATAAGTGTTATGGAGACTCTGCACCAGAGAAATCAACTGTTATTGACTGGTATGCTGAATTTAAACGCTGTCGTACAAGCACTGATGATGCTGAACACTCTGGTCGCCCAAAATCGACAGTTGTTCCTGAAAACATAAAAAAGTCCACAAAATAGTTTTGAAAGACCTTAATGTGAAGTTGCGTGAAATATCAGACGGTAGTGTGTTTACAATTGTACACGAAATGTTGAACATGCTTAAGTTGCTTTCGAAGTGGGTGCCGCGTTTGCTCACACCGGTTAATTGATCATTTGCTCACAATCCCTATACTGCCCTCTAGGTATGACAAGCTTATAGATCTTTGAGGTGCCCAATCAGGTACTTACCTTTACCTTAAATAGCTTTTAGTAACTTTTGATGCACACTAGATTTTATGCCATGTTTTTGTAAAATAGCTGAGAAACAATAGCAGCCATAATTTAAATCCTGCAAATTAGAATGTCACCAATCTTCAAATGACTGCCACTATGTAAAACGATATGTAAAAGTGCATTTCATTTTATTTAAAAATAATTTAGCCATGGATCCTGTAATTTTGTGCTAACTTTCTAAATAATATTTCAAGTGAAAGATAGCTGAAAAGAAAATGATTGATGTATTTTTCCAATCAACAAAAAGGACGCATCAGGTTTTTACAGCCAGCACATTATTCAAAATAACTCCATCTTCCCAAGAGATTTCTCATTTGTTCCATATATGAAACTTTCATACCAACGTCCTTTTAAAAGATCCATCATTTCCTTTTTAGCCGTTGAAACTTTGGTTCGTTAACTTCAAATACCATCTAGAAAAAAAGAAGTTTGAACCATGATGAGAAAAAAACCTACCACGAGATCTGGGAGCGTAAAAGCACCTAAGTATCCCCTGATATCAGAAATGTCTAAATTTAGCTCTGGTACCTTCGAGGCATGAAGAAAAATATTCGGATAAAAAGGCAATCAATCGATTCATTAACCTTTTTTTTATTCCTTTTTGGGGAAATGGGGAAAGTTACAGAATCAGGAAACCGAGATGTTCACCATAGAAACTCCTTCTGTGAACGTCATAAAAATTTCAAAGAGCCATAGAAACTCCTTCTGTGAACGTCATAAAAATTTTCTAAGAACCATAGAAACTCCTTCTATGAACGTCACAAAAATTTCAAAGAACCATAGAAACTTCTTCTGTGAACGTCATAAAAATTTCAAAGAGCCTTAGAAACTCCTGTGAACGTCATAAAAATTTCAAAGAACCATAGAAACTCCTTCTGTGAACGTCATAAAAATTTCAAAGAACCATAGAAACTCCTTCTGTGAACGTCATAAAAATTTCAAAGGACCATATAAACTCCTTCTGTGATCGTCATAAAAATTTCAAAGAACCATATAAACTCCTTCTGTGAACATCATAAAAATTTCAAAGAACCATATAAACTCCTTCTGTGAACGTCATAAAAATTTCAAAGAACCATAGAAACTCCTTCTGTGAACGTCATAAAAATTTCAAAGAATTATATTTTATGTGGCAAACATATTTTGGTATTGAGATAGTTAACGCGAATGCTGGAGGATTTGTCCCACGAAAACTACATTATCAAATCTCGGGATCTTAAAAACTCTTGCCGACTTATTTTCATGTCAGATTCCATTTTCCATAAAAAAAAATGCGGGTTTTCTTATTTATTTTAACCCTCACAAAAGAAAAATCGACACACTATTGATTCGGAAGTTTGCTTTTTGTTTATTTATTCCTTTCTTCTTGTTTCCCTTTTGATTATTCTAATGTCATTGTTCTTTTTCTTCTGCTACAGATTTCGCATCTTTGTCGGAGTCCGATACAATCCATCACAGAAGGAATGCGGAAAAGTGTGTCCAAACATTTCAGGATGTTTTTGTTCATCATTTTGGTTTTTGAGTATTGAGTACTTATCATTGCTGAGTATTTATCATTGCCGAGTATTTACATTGATTGATCTGGTTCTCAAACTTTTTAAAACATTTCACAAACATTTCAGGATGTTTTTGTTCATCCATTTGATTTTTGAGTATTGAGTACTTATCATTGCCGAGTATTTACATTGATTGATCTGGTTCTCAAACTTTTTAAAACATTTCACAAACATTTCAGGATGTTTTTGTTCATCCATTTGGTTTTTGAGTACTGAGTACTTATCATTGCCGAGTATTTACATTGATTGATCTGGTTCTCAAACTTTTTAAAACATTTCACAAACATTTCAGGATGTTTTTGTTCATCCATTTGGTTTTTGAGTATTGAGTACTTATCATTGCCGAGTATTTACATTGATTGATCTGGTTCTCAAACTTTTTTAAAACATTTCACAAACATTTCAGGATGTTTTTGTTCATCCATTTGGTTTTGAGTATTGAGTACTTATCATTGCCGAGTATTTACATTGATTGATCTGGTTCTCAAACTTTTTAAAACATTTCACAAACATTTCAGGATGTTTTTGTTCATCCATTTGGTTTTTGAGTACTGAGTACTTATCATTGCCAAACTATTTACATTGATTGATCTGGTTCTCAAACTTTTTAAAACATTTCACAAACATTTCAGGATGTTTTTGTTCATCCATTTGGTTTTTGAGTATTGAGTACTTATCATTGCCGAGTATTTACATTGATTGATCTGGTTCTCAAACTTTTAAAACATTTCACAAACATTTCAGGATGTTTTTGTTCATCCATTTGA